TTTGTTTTTGCACACGAGGATGGGAAAAAAAGGAACAAATGTCTTCGGAGAGGTTGGATTTCATTTCTTGCATTTTCAATTCGTAGGAGGGCAAGCATAAATTCCAGTGAAGAGGGAAGAGGTTCCAGAGTCCATCAAATCTTAGCCCATCGAAATTTTTCTCCTTTGAACCTGTGATCTTTCCATGCAAAGGAATTTTTGTCCTTCCAGAGATGGAAGAAAAAATTTTGTTTGGTCCAAATTTTCATCCAAACATATCCTTCTGGCACCTCCCAAAGCAAAATTCATTTTTCAGAGTTGTGTAATGCAGTTTGCAATTCCAATTCAAAAAAAAAAAAAAAGTACAAAAATGAAGACTTTAAGGGAAAGCATGTAGAAAAATGCATATTATTAAGGGAAAGTCACAAAGACCGTTCAATTAGGATTCAGGTGATGTGTGTATTTATTTTAGAAAGTGTCAAAAAAAAGGAACTGGGTGGGTGTTTTGTTTGCAGTCTGCTGTACAAATGGGTTGAAAGCCACACAGAGCCAAGAAAATAGAGATGGAATTAAAGATTTATGAGACGTGTATCTTGTATTTCATGGCATGATATGAACAGCTCAGAAGGAAGCTTGGAGACTACAGAGCCACTTAATTTGTGCGTCTGCATAAGACGTTTGCTCTCAAGAAAACAGTGATCTGATTTACAACCCATTGTGTAATGGATTGATAGAATGTGCATTAACGTCTGACTTGGAAATTGGACTCTAAAAGCGAAGTAGAATTTTTCACACGACATGGGGGAAGAAATATTCAGTCCGTGGGCAACGATTGTCTTCGCAGCACTTGTTTTAATGAAGCTGAAATATAAATTTCGTGGTTTTTTTCATCCGGACTCCACCAGTTCTCTGCACGGGGCCTGCTCATTTTTGCAAGAGAATCCCCACCGTTGTACCCCAAAGCCACCTGAGAAAATGGGACCTCCCTGGTTTAAATTACGTTCACTGCGTGCTAGTGCCCCCCACTCAGAAAAAAAAATCTAGAACTTTAATACTGGTTATTTTCCCTGCACTGTCCTTTGTTCGTGTTGGTTCATGTTTGGAAATATTCTTCCCCATATTAGCATGAATGGAAGCCAATCCTGGGCAACCAAAGGGCCTGTGATCAGTTCAAATTTAGCACTGGAGGAAGGAAACATCCTTACTTGTAGGTTAGGTTGAAATGATCCCATTTCAGCCGTCCCGGCGTCAACGTGTAACGCTTCTTCCGGAGATGAGGAGGCGGAGGTGGAAATGCCACGTTTGGAAGAGCCGAGGTCACCCCAAGATTGGGACCAGGTATGGCCACGTGTTCCTGAAAGGCAGAGGAACAAGTCAGAAGCTTTGGAGCAGAGGCCTGACACAGAAAACATCTGGAGAGAATTCCCCTCTGCCCATCAAGACTCCCAAACCAAGTCAGTTTCTCAGCATTCTTCCCACCTATTTCGGAGCAGTGATTTTTCTGGAAAAGTCGTTTTCCATCTTAGTTCTCCGTCTTTCGGTGCCCTAGACTGATTTAAACCAACTGATCTTAGCTCAACACCCTTCATATGTGATGGATTTTAGCTTCCCTCCGTCAATTATGGCCAGGGATGGTGAGAGGTCTGGAGGGCCCCACATTGTCTACTCCAATGTACTAAATCAGACAAGCGTCAAAAAACTAGGATATTTTCCAAGAAGAAACAAGCCTTTCCCAATTACTAGCCTCCAGGGTGTCGTTCTCAGAATTCAATCGCCACTGACTGGTGTTTCCACTTAGCAATCATGGTCATTAGCTGTTTGTAGTCCTTCCAAGATTGACCAAGCCCCCTTATTTAAAGCCATCTAAGCTGGTTTAGATTTTTTGGATGGGGAAACGCACAGAGAAAGTCATAACTTTCTGCAGAAAAATCTCTTTTTTTCTGCCTGCCTTGCGAAATAAGGCCAGAAAAAACCCTCCCACAAATGGCGTGAAGGCCACCGCTGATCAGTTTGCCCATTTCCACCCTGATGGTGAAAGAGAGACAAAACGGGTCACGGTGCAGAAAACGAGAGTCTGATCTTAGCAGGAAAACATAATCTTGAATTTCACTGTATGAATTTCAGAGTGGCGAGATCCCCCCAACCCTCTCCTTACTGAGACGCTGTTGGTTCGATCCTTTTCAGAGCCGGAACTGAGAATGAAATTGGCGTAGCTGCTGCGTTGCACTTAAAAGACCCCTTGTGCGCTGTCCTTCGCTGTTTCCTGAGCTGAATAATCACACTGAGATGCCTGCCATATTACATCAGTGGTGGAAGGTGAGCCAGTTCTGGCCTTATAGATTTTGGGGCTGGGGGGGAGAATCACCCACCAGGGAGAGGAGAAAAGGCTGGTCAAGCCATTAAAGCTTTTGATTGATGGCTGCTGGGAACCAAATCTCCAGCTTCGGCCCCAGATTTCCAAGCAACACATGTAAGTGACATAATCTCTAACTAGAAGTCTAGGAGTTTTACAGCAGGATGGTTGTTTTTAAATGCCCTCCCCCTTGCAAAAAGGCCTTGTTGGACAAGAAAAGGGGATGGCATCCAAAACGGGAGGGGAAATTCATTTCTTTCGCAGCAGAGGGCAAAGTTACAACTGTCCAAGATACTTTCCTTCAGGTCGTCTCTGATAGCTGCACAGCTCTCCTGGATATTCTCATTTAAACTCAGCCAAACCAAATGCTACTGCCCGTTTTGCCACCCCGTGGTGCTTAATTTGCTTTTTGACCGCTGGTGGCAACTAGTGCCCACACTCTCCAGCTCCTGGTCCATGGAAAAGACGTAGAAGTCACAAACCCTGGCTCCCAGTGGTTAGCACGCTCCAAAAAATAAATCAAAGCCCAATAATCTTCTTAAAACCTAAGAAAGCCATCCTGTCGCTCGCATCAATGAACGCCTATATTGCATGTCACATTTGTCCTGGATTGCAGTTTATTTGCCTTAGGAAATGAGGCATCCTCTAATTATTTCTAATTCCATTTGATTTTTGCAGTGCAACTGAAACTCAGGCCCGGTTGGATGAAAGGAGTAAATCAAGGAGTTGAAATCTACCCCACGTGAACCAGGAGGAGCTATTTGACGATTCTCCTCCTTTCTCTGATTTTACCACGTTCCCTCCATCCAAGCAATCTTATCTTATCACTCAAGGAAGCCAAGAATCAAATCAATCCTGAATGAATGTTCTTATCTAGCCGGGGCGTAGGGTGAAAACGACACGGCTGCCTCCTTGCTCGCTTTGCCAAAACCTCGTGCCATAAGTAGGTCAACTGAATCCAACTTTTCTGGGCTGGAGAGCTGAAAATGGCTTTTTTTTCACCCAGATCAGACAGAGTGGCTTTCAGCGAAAACCCAAGGATTCATCAGTGTGGTCCTGTGGGCAAAGCTGATTCTTTAGCAAGAGAGAAGCTGGCTTTGAGCACTGGCAAGGTTCAAAGTCTAGCCCTGCGAAAAGGCCATTCCTAGATACTTTCAATTTTGCTCATCTCAGCAAGGAGAAAAAAGTAGGGCGAGCTGAGTCATTCAGCTGCTGTGATTAAGCAACAGAGAATTGGATTTCTTGGAAATTGCCCAAATTCTCCGTGCCCTTTGTCCATGCCAGCTTTTTCTCCTTGGATTTGCACTTTTTCTCCAGTTGCGGCAGGACTCACTTCTGTGCAATTGTCATTGAGAAGCCTCTTAAGGTTCAACTTCTAAAAGGTCTGCTTTTAAAGCTTTGCAGCCACGTGGATCAGATTCAGAGGGGCAGAAAGAAGTGAGAATGTCCAGTCTGAGGGAGATCTACTAGCTCCAGAAGAGCATCCCTGATAGATACTTGAACATGGAGTTGCTGTTTTAATCGATCCAGTCTCTTGCATCCTTTATCCCATAGCAGCTTTTCGATGCTGGATTGATGAGAGAGCATTTACAAGAGCTCTGAACATCTCTCTCTTAAGAAAACCTCAATTGTATGTGCAAATCTCTCTCCGTTCAAAAAACTACAGGGACTAGAAGAGAGGAATCATTTTCCCACCAGATGTTCTCAGTTTCCTAGCATCCTTCCGCACTGGCCAGGCCAGCAGAGGCCACATCTGGTAAATGCCTGTTTTCCCCTATAGAGAACGATAAAGATAACGCTTTTGCTCGCAAAGCGCCTCCCTGCGTCCTGAGCTGATGCGGTCCCACCTCCCCCTCCTCCCGATTTGAACAGACGGCAACCGAGAGGATGCATGGTCTGGAAAATGTGGTGGGAAGGAAGGATCGCTGGGCGTTACAGGCCTAGAAGCAAAGGGTTAAGTTAAAAAGGGATGTACAGGTAAGCAGAAAACTGTTCACTCAACTTGAAACAGCGGGGGCTTAGTGTCGGAGAGATCCAGCAAGCCAGATGTTCTGGAGGAAACTTCAGATATTGATTTTCTTGAAAAAAATGCAGGTCCTGATTTTATTACCATCATTGCTCTGCTGATGCTTTTATTTTACATGCATGCACGCATACACATATATATATAGAGAGAATTATCATTAATGGTATCATTAGCATTCTTGAATGCTTTAATTTGTCTTAATTCTGATTTCATATCGCTATGATGGAAAGCGCCTTGGGAAACAGTTGCCCCCAGCTGGGACTTTTGTAGTCTGAAAGTGTTGGACTACAGTTCCCATCGTGCCTGACCCACGCCAGATTTAAAACCGGATGAAGACACCAACAGTCAAACAAACATACATAAAGATACCATGTTTTTTTCTCATGTAGTAGAGAAGAAAACATTGGGATGTAACACGCTGGATTCAAGTCCCCGCTTGCGGGATTTGAAGAGGCGCCTTGCTCTGCTTTCAGTCTACCTTGCTAGACTGTTGTGAAGGTATAATGAACTCCTCGGAAGAGAAGCAAGCAGCATAAATTGAACCGCAAACAGTCACATTTGTAGGGGAAAAGATCTGATGCTTACCTGGATCTTCCGTGCCTCCGTGGCATACGACTCTCCCCAAACCACCAGGAGGATTAGAAGTAGGAAAATGCCTGTGGAACTCGCAGGGCCTTGATATTTATGTTTTTTCAGCCTGCCAGCAGGAGGAAAAAAAGGAGAAACACTCACAGAAAGACTTCTCAGCTGCTCCATGGCTGCATTTAATTAAAACCGAACACGAGCGAGAACGCGAGGGGGGAAGTTCAGTGCATCCAGCTTGCAAGGCGGGTTGCTAAGTTCTGAAAACTAGGCTGCAACGGCAAACTTTCCTGGAAGGGCTCAGAACTTTTCCTGGGAGGTAAAAAAAGGGGTGCAGACGCCAAGGTTTTAGTTCAGTCTCTGACACGCTTGGCCAGCCCTTGCCAAATTCGATCGGATTACTGGGAATCTCGGCTAATGGAAGAAAGGGATAGAGGAGGAAAGGGGGGAAAGAGCTGGGAAGGGAAGGGAGCGAGAGCTAAGCCAGCTGTTTTAGCATCTGGACAAGGGAGGCAGTAGATCCATGTGTGCACACAGACACACACAGGAGGAGGAGGAGGAGGAGGGAGAAAAATGATGGGGTGGACTCCAAACGCCGGATTCAGAACATTTGCACACGTGCACACGCCCTGAATATTTTATCGATGGGATCTGTTCCACAGCCGGAGATCCACCCATCAGCCAGACAGCCTTGAGGATCTGATTTGCAAAAGGGGAATTTTGCAAGGGCCGGGCCAATGCTTCTAAGGGGGTCTTCTGGCTCCCCCCTTCTGCGTTTGGTTCCTACAATTGATTGGCCCTGTTGGACGTCTAATTTCCCTCCCCCCTTTTTTTATATATTTTTCTTTTCCTAAGTCTGTTGGTCCTGTTTGGGGAAGTTATTTGAAAATTGCCTTGCCCCGGATCACTTTCTCGAGAGCGTGAAAAAGCTTGTCCTCCTTTCTTCCATGAAACTCAGCCTGGGAGCCGAAGCCGAGCCTACCTCGCAGAACTGTTGGGAGGGGAAAAGATGGAGACCTCGATACAGCAGCAGCTGGTGCTTCGCGACGTGACGTTGGCAGGAGGGCAGGAGTGTAAGAAAAAGTGTTGGAGACGATCTAGAGAAGATAATGTTTTCTTGCAGGCTTAATACGTTGGATATGAATGCAATCATTTTCTACACTGGAATTGGACTCCGTTCGTGGTCATCCTCTTCGAGGGTCTCCCGCCCACCCAGTGGGCCCTTTTTAAAAATCCCATGGCCCCTTCTCCGACGTTGAGACGTGGAGAACAGGAACCACAGCCTTCCCTAGAAACTGCCTTTGCCTCTCGGCTTCAAAAAGAATCGTTAAAGGTTTACCTTTGAAAAAAATGATTTTTTTTTTAAATGTCATTGAGTTTCAGGAATTTTCCTCCCAAGCGCACGCAGATGAAGCCAACTGCGGGATGTAACAGGAAGGAGAAACGCTTAACCAATCACTTTTGCTTTCTTGCTGGATGGCTTTTTTAGAAAACTGAAACAATGGGAAGGTGATGTTTTCGATTCCTTGCAGGCCTAACTGCTGAAAGGAGAGGGACTAGAACCTTGAAAAAAGAGCTTCCTTTCATTGATTCAATGGCTGGCCTTATACCAGGGCTGAATTTGCCCCCAAGAAAGGAGGTACCGTCCAACTGAAATACACTATCATTTCCTTCTCAATTCTTTTCTATTTAAACCTAAAAAAAAGGCCGCAATATTGACATTCTTTGACACAAAGCCACAATAAATATTACATAAGCAGCACAAGGAACGATTATTAATTCTCGCCCTTCTTTCCCCTGATTTTTTTTTTTCTCATTCTCACATCTGGCTGTTTAATTTGGTCCTCTCTCAAAAATCGCTCAATCTGGCTCAGTATAATGTTGGACGCCGGGAGACGGAAAATCTCCCTCGCAGCCAGAAGAGTCTTCACGGTACTCTGTCCAAAGCTAGATGAAAGTTTCTCTTGCAGCTGCCCCGTATCTGATGCCGCTAGAGGGGGCCTGGATCAATTTTAATTCATCGGATCAGTTTAATCTTCCTTTTTTAAAGCTTCATTTACGGTGGGAGGGCTTCTCGAAGCAGGAAAGGAAAGAGGAAATCCAGCGGACAGCGAGGAAAACGACAGAAGGGACGTCTGAGGGCAAGAAACGCTGCTTCCCCCAAGAATAATTGCAGTTTATGGGGAGAAAATATGGACATTTCCCCCCAAAAGAGCTGCGACACCCTTATTAACCATGAGCACTGGCCTTGGCAATGTGCAATGGCCGGATGTGTCCACAAGGGGGCAGACGTCGCTGTTCTGGCGATGGTTTTTTGAAAGGGCCCTCTGGTGGCGGGTTGGGGTATTGCAGGCAATGGTCTAGCTGAGATATTTCGCAAACTAGAAATTCCCAGGATGAAAGCACAGCATAAATCTAAGGGAGTGAACTTGCCAAACTTATGCCTTTGAAGAAACTAAGACAAGTATTGTTTGGGCCCTGCTGGCTTCAAAGGGAAGGGTGTTTATATGCGAAAGAACAGAACGGCCCATCCTCTGCGGCTGCTTTGCCTAGCACCTGTTCTCACCTATCTGACTTTTCTTCCCTAGATGATGCAGGGCCCAGAGAAGCCACCGGAGGGCGCCCTTTTCATGCCCTTTGCCATGATGGCTCTAATAGCGCCACTGAGGCTGCAATGCCAAAAAGAGCCACCGGACTTTCCATGCCCTTTGCCATGATGGTTCTAATAGCGCCACTGAGGCTGCAATGCCAAAAAGAGCCACCGGACTTTCCATGCCCTTTGCCATGATGGTTCTAATAGCGCCAC